GTTATCTCTGACGATTTTTCGGGCGTAAAGGCGCGTGGCGGAATCTCCCCGCTGCCGTCATACTATGCGACGCGTCTCCTCTCACAAACAGAAACGAAAAAAAAAGCAAAATAATAATCATAATAATAACGACAACAGCAACAACAACAGCCCTATAGACCGCGAAAATCCGGCAAGCGGTAATTATTACGGAGGCATCACCGCGCGCCAGCCCCACCTTCCCACGACGCGGTAATTATTAAAATTTATTACGTCGTTTTTGTATATAATAATAATAATAATAGTATAATATCAGCCCCGAAAGAGAAAGAGAGATAGAGAGAGCACGTTTAACTCGAGGGGCTTTTAATTAAATACCTTCTATATATGAGTGTATATATGTGCAGTCTGTATGTGTGTGTGTGTGTGTGTGTGTGTTTGTGTAAAAGGGTAATCGAGTCGAATTTTTCATTCGTGTCACTATAGACCGAGACGTGGTGAAGGGAGGGTGAAGAAAACGACAGCGGCGGCGGTGGCGTACCACAGCGACGTGCGCGCGAGGGGATGGTTTGACGTTGCCGGGCGCGTGTCGTGCCCAATGTAGCGGAATGCGTTTAGATAAGCTAGCCAAAACGCACTTTGTCGTCATTGTGCGCGCCACTGGTAGTGTCACGTCGTAATAATAATAATCTATATAAGTATATTTTACACGTAATATATGTGTGTATGCCCTGACGGTGAGGACGTGTTATGTGTGAGTGTGTGTGTGTCGTATTGTTGTCGTCGCGTCTATATATATTATATATGTATATAAACAGTGTCGTGTCGACGAAATTAATCGTCTCGCTTTTGGTTTATGACTTTGCGGTTATTTTTACTACCACGGCTGTATATTTTTTTGATGGGGAGGGTGACGTGACACCGCGACAAAAAGATAACAGTTGGTTTTCGCCCCGAAATTCAGTCACTTCCGGTTCTGATTTTACGTCACAGTGCCATTATTGGCTATATCATTGCTATAATTTTGCACTATTTTTTTTCATGGTAGTATGAGTGGCCGCCGGGCGGTTGTACTGTGACTGATGGTCTCCAAGACGTCATGAACTTTTCAGGACCACAAAAACCTTTTTTATAAACGTACGATGGAGTGTTAAAAATACCTCATTTACGAAAACCCATTTGCAAATGCAGTATGGGGGTAAAGAGGCTATGCACTATTGCACTGTGATTTCTCCCACTTACGTGATGCAGAGTATTCTTCAAACTCGATAGTCCAACGATAGCTCTGCAACACTTTGTGCCTGCCGTGTAACGTGTATCAAATTGCAAAATTAAAATTCACAATTTATTATACTAAAACGCTTTAAACCTTAAACCGTTCCATATTTATATCAAAACCAAAATTTGGATCAACTCTATGATGGACACAAAAAAAATCTCATTCACGCATTAGTATGTCAATAAATATATATAATTGTCGTCGTATAACCTTTTAAGCTGCTACTCGTATTTCGGTCGGAACAAAATAATTACCACATAAACGTCTTTAATATTGTTTATATAGGGCCACTGAAGAAATAATTAGCAGTATATATATAGTAGTATTGCTATATATGACGCGTGCCATTAAATTTCATTCGGAATGTTTAAAAAATTATGCTTATATTTTTTTTTTGTAAGTGACTGTTGAGCAATTAACTGTAGTTAATTAAAACTCCAACGGTCTGAATAACGCTTAGACTTAACCAATTATGTGTTATTTGAAAGCAATGTTTTCGACAAATGAAAATTATGTCATTTATTTTTTATTTTTTGCGGCTTCGTTAATTCTACGGAATTCATAAAGATTTGTTTTTTTAAGTACTTATTAAGAACAACTCGAGTGTTCTAAAAGTATATTATATAATTTAATGTTTGTAAATATTAAAGAATACACGCGATGCGATTTTATTTCAACGGAACTTGAATATAGTTTTACATTATGCTTATAATATTACTTTTATATTATTATACATATACGTACCACGACCGTAAACATGTCACTCTTCTCACAAATTCGTGCGAACATAAATGTTGTAAAATCTAAATTCATACTTTTTTTCCGGAAATCGTTTGGAGCTTGTCGTTGAACTAGACAGTGTTACATTATTAAATTCGATGCGTCATATTATTATCTTTATGTCGGACACATCATTACTCTCTCAGGCTTTAGCAACGCACTACACATATATAATATAAATACATCACGATGACATTCGACCAAATAATATATGTGGGCATGTAGCCACTATCTCTTTTAGGGCGCCATCCCTATATAGTAAGTTGTCTATATTATATACCGCAATATCAAATGACCGTTCTCCGCGCACTTGGGTTCATTCATATGGATCGACCACGTGCGGTTATAATATCATGGTATAGAGTATTATAGTGAAGAGAGGTAGTGCGATGTGGGGGTAGGTGGTTCCGGGAGTTTAACTCGATTATGATAATAGAAAAACCGATCGCGGTGCGCCCGCGTCGGCGGTCACGAACAAAACAAACTTCGGGTGATTTATCGACACCCCCGCCTTCTCAGTTCATCCCGTATGTGACTATTTTTTTCTCATCTCTGCCCTTTATACCCCCCCCCTCAACTCACTGGTCTCCGCACAAGCCACCACCCCCACCCCGTCCGGATCGTTTTTCTATTTTTATTTTACCCCGGTAAATATACGCGTCCTCTTAACGTTTATCTCGTATATGTAATAACCATTTAGAACACGAAAGAAAAACTCTTTTATGTTTTCGGCATTTCCATAATGCGTTTTCTTTCAAAAAGTCACGTTATTCCTTATGCGTTCGATTTGGATCTAGGGGTGGAAAACGTATAGTTGGTTACAATATCTCGTGTACGATATGTGCTGCGTTTCATATACAATATACATATATATATATATATATATTCAAAGCATAACGGCAGTGCATGAATCACCGTGAGATAATACTATACATACATATTATAGTGTGTGGTAAAAATAAAACAGAATAAAAAATCCACCAAAAGTCATAAATTTTAAAGCGGAATGTCGGAATACCTACCTCGTTACACGCGTATACCCTGCTGCATAATGCAGTATCATTTCTATAATTTAGTTATTTTATAGGTATATTATTATCATTACTATCAACTAAATCGGAGTATGGGTAATAAAGGTTAATGTATAATATATTTATATCGTTAATAGAATATTGGTATACGTATATGATGGCAATTGATTGGAACTTTGAAAGTTAATATAATCAGAAATGTACCTACTGTACAAAATCGTATAATAATATATTATATATCGTGTAATTTTTCGAATCTTTTGAGTAACTATACAAGTATTCAAGTACATACTATTATAATATAAGCTGTATATACTACATACTTTGATCAATTTCTTATTCATTACCGACGTTTTTATCAATTTCACATTTCATAATACAATAGTTTACATAAATCCATCAGTTGTATCCATCTATTGATGTATATTAAATATTAATAGTAGAAAAATTATCATTTTACACCCGGAAATCGTAGTAAAATTTATATATAACCTGTGTGTTGATAAATAATAGTAGGTATACTAGGTATAGTATAGACTATAGACACTAATGTATAATTATATAAATGTATAAAATGTGTGAACATTTTGAATAAGAATTTAATTGTTCTGTTTATACATTATATCGTCATAACTCATAACTCATGACGATTTAAAAATAATACGTGCTAGACATATTCATATTTTATATTCGTTTACCAGCTGACAGTTTTAAGTGCATGTTCATTGAAAATAACTACAACCAATAATAAGTATGTATAGGTGTGTAGTAGGTATGTAATATGTATATCTCATAAGTCGTGTCCTCTGCCACTCTTATTTGTTATATATATATATATATATTTGTTTGAACACTCTCAGTTTGTAATGGTTGATTAAAATATTGGTAGCCAGCATAGTTATAGCTGGTAGTACAACAAATTTATTGTATATAATATAATATATTATACAGTATATGTATATGTGTGTGTGTGTGTGTGTTCAGTGTGTGTGTAGGGGGGAGGGTGTGTTTGTGTGTTGAGTGTAGTGTGTCGTGTGTATAGTACATATTAAAACGAATAATGGGTCTCTGCTGTATAAGTATTTAGGTACTGTCTATATCCATATTGTTTATATAGTCAGTTTATCAATGTTTCGAAAACTCCAAAAACAATATTTTCTTACACGACGTCTGTTGAATACTTTATTACGAGAAGTGGTGTATACAAAGGCTACTACAACACACGTCACACGTCGGTAATGTCAACGGCGCATGTATGGACGTGTTTATTGTGTGGCTTTCGTTTTAATTGGATTGTCATTTGTCATTCAAGTTCCAAGTTTAAAAACATTAAAAATTTAAAAAACCATAGATAGGGTCCCCAGGTCCAAGTCATTGTTGTATAATATTGTCATTTGATATTACATTTCTGAGAATAGGTAAATATTATAAAATATAATTAAATTCATTGCAGTTTGGAATTTTTCCAATTTCAACCGGTGCACGTGTACCTAAACGAAACTTGTGTAATCCATCGATCTATTTGTGATTTAACAATAAATTATAAATTCAAAAAGGTATTAAGTTAGGTAATAACTACAAATTCTTGATTAATTCGTCTTTAATGAAAAATAGGTAAATTAAGTTCAAATTTAGATAATCATTAACGATAAGAAAAATGGTTGTGTGTGTTTCTTTTAAAAACTATTTTACTGCCACTTTCCATAAAAGCAGAAAATTATCGTTTAGATAAAACTGTTTATACTTACAAAATTAAAATTAAAAATGTGAACTCCAATAATACATACTAGTATAATACCTAATCAAAAAACATTGTCAAATTCTAAAATCCTTACGATTGGTTAAATTCTTTGAATAAAAATTAAACGAATAAAAAATAGCCCCCATTCACTACATTTGCAGGGGATCATTCGAATTTATGTGAGGAATACCTTGGGGCTTGGATGACTGCCATTGTTCACGATGGTGTATATTATATTCATATATATGTTTTATAATCACACGTGGTTAACAATGTTGCCCCATTGTTTTGAGTGTTGTCACTTTTGATGGAGAATTCAGCGTCCTAATTTAAATGAAATTACATATTAACACAAAGAATCCCGATTTTAGTCATTTTGTTGTAATTTGGTTTCAAAATAGCCCAATTTTACATAAGTATGTTTAATATTTTTCTTGCATCACTGATCATTTTAGGATAATATTATGAATAATATTAATTCAACTTACTTGCTACGACCGTATTAGTAGTAAGTTATAAATATCTTAGACTGACAATTGACATACCACCTCCGCTCCGAATCGTTTATCGTATACATTGATATAATATCAATGTATTCAAATTGAATGCCATTTTTAAAGGTGAAAAATAATAAATAGATAAATACGTAGTGACAATAATGTATTTGGCCACCAGTTCAATATCTGAAACTATTTGTATTACGTACAATTCTCCGTTATTTTACAGTATGGCATTTTTTCCCTCCGACACAATTTACGCACGTACAAATAATGAAAAATAATAACATAGATTGTCCGATGGTCACAGCACCGCTATTATTCTTAGTTAGACTCTTGATCCTTCTGACGTAAATCCGTTGCTCCAAATCCCTAAACATATCCCGTCCAGCAAACCAGCAAATCCTATGTCGTTTGTCTGGACATTGTTTTGTATCGTACTTTTTGATAAATACCAGAACCAATATATGCCAAACACTGCAAGAATAATTTCATTTTGCTTTGTAATTTGTATATAGGAGTTCACAGAGGTACTTAATATAGTAATATTTATGTATGAAAAATTACATAATATATTAGATAATAAATAATAATAACAATATTAAATATTATATAATATTTTAAACGAAGGTATAACTGTAATGACACATTTTTATACTTTAATTTTCTAACAAAAATTATTGTTGATTTGGTACTTATGATAATTAAAATAATTTAGGAGTACATATATAACAAAATAAACATAAATTGAATTAAAAATATAATCTTGTAAAAATGCTATAATAAATCACGAAGAAAGTATTTAAAAATGTGATATTGTTCTTTCATAATCTATATTCTATAGTCTGTATACGTATGTAAGTAAAAAGATTTTTTTTTAATTATTATTTATATTCTAGGTATATTATGAATCTCGCTAAAAATGTTTTATATTTTAATCAAAACCATTTTATTCGTTTCCTCGTTACTAACAAATAATATATTATGTAGGTGTATTTGTAATGCACTTAATATTATTTAATTAAAATTCCTACAAGAGTGTTTACTATAGTATATATTAACGAAGGGAGAAGAGGATTTACAAAATAAAATATCCAAGTCGAAAAGTCAAAATGTTGATATTAATGTAAATAATAAATATGCAATGATTGCGGCACATATAATACAATAATTTCTTTCGTCATCTCGAAAGGAATGAACTTCAATTTAGTTTGCAATATGAAATCGCGGGTGTTATAAAAACGGGGTCTGATTTTTGTATTATTATTATTTTTTAAATTGCTACTAGTTTACGTTGGCTGATTCGCTGGGTAATAACATTATGGCACGTTAAAGGGGAGCGTATGATTAATTAACTTCCAATGTAAACGGAGACAGGAATTTTAGACCGGCTTTCCTCGTATCGGATATCACAGGCCGCAACGCGAAATCGCCCCAACCTTTTCGCGTCGGCGGCGGTTATTTGGACCTCATGTTCCTGGGAAGTAATTAAACAAATCCTCATAAGACCTCATACACTCGACAGGTTTCAAGCACATTGTTATAAAAGGTAAATTAATATTAGCTTATTAATATTCACAGTATGTCTAGGATTCGCTCAAGGACGACTGTATAATGTTCTATAATATATTTAAATTATTTAATATATAATATTGTTGACAAAACAACACAAACCGTATCGTTAGAACTTAACATCCATTGAATCAAAAACATACTATTTAATGAAAAAAAAGTAAAACATTATTTAAATCGAACATAAATGATATTTACTTAGTCGAGGAAGAACTAAATAACAATATAAACTCCGAAATAACTTAAATAACCATTAGGTATTGACAAATTGAATATGCATAAACTGTTAAAAGTAGATTTTGATAAGTGTATAATTTGAAAGCTCGCCGCAGTATAGAATAATTCAAGTGTAATCAATTATCCACCAAGACCATTTCCTGTTCCTATTTAAATTGCATTAGCAACGTAAATGTAAATTAATTGTTTTATAATCGCATCCTTTCTTTATTTAGTAAAATCGTCACTGAATTATTAAACATTAGCCCAGAGAGTAAATATACTATATATAAATATACATATTAAAATCTGTTTTCGCTGTAATTAATTTTAAAAATAATAATTTAAATGAGCTGACATATTAAGTGAAAATTATACCAATTATAGATATATCGTATATATTTATAGCAGTAAATACTAAATATTAAATTGTATAATCCAAAACAAGCGGCTGCTATTAAATAATATCAAGGCTTTTAATAAACTTAAATCAATCCTACGGTAACACAAATAAAACGTGATTATGTGATGTTGAACATCACAAAACATGATTACACATGCATCAATATTGTTTGTTTGGCTTCATTTAATAATTGGACAAGTGAGACGTAAAAGAATGTTTGGAAAATGTAACGGTATGAAATATATATCGCTTTTTGACTGTTGAAAAAAAAAGATTATTTAGCAACCCTAAAAACGCCAAGCGAAAAAAACGCAGATTGGCGTTAACCATGCGCCGAGGGTTAATGAAGGTTTAAACTCGTAATTTATGTGCCCATTAAAAACTGTGGTTCGATTAAAACGTAAGTCCATGTATACCATCACGAATTACTGCTTAGTTATCTGTATAATTATACAATTAATCGATAATTCCCAGTTTTCCTCGTTTGCATAATGTCGGACAGCTGAACTGTTCAGTTAGTACAAAGCATTATAAATAATAAATAGGTTTCTGTCCCTAAAGTCTACCTAATAAAATAGACGAGTGTCAGATTATAAATATAGTATTAAAACAAATAGTTATAGAGATGGATGGTACTAAAAGTTTTATTTTAATATCAGGCATTTACTATTTTTATTCGAGAATAATAATATAATATCATCTATGATTAGTATAGTTGTGTAAATTAAATTAATGGTAATTAGCTTAATCGATTCAGGCCAATAATTAAAAGACGACATCATTTATTTGCCGTAGTTAAAAAAGGAAACAATGGATCTCTTTTTAGTACAATATTTATTATACACTATTACTATTATATATTTGCACTGAATTAATACGATAACCAAAACTTTTGTTAGTTTTTATTATTCTGTGAATTTTATCTTTAGATTTTATTTATACGGTACTTTTAGTATTTATTGCTAATATACCGTAATAAGGTCTTACACAATTGTTCAGATAATGTAGATGTAATGTAACTATAATACTTATTTTTTAAAAAAACTCTTAATCGGTAAAATGTATAATTTCACTAGAAATTGTAAAGTGGTGTATTTGACACATTGATTGACAAAAATAAATTGGTCTATTGTATGCACTTCATTGCACATTCCTTATTGAACAAACAACTCACTTTCAGAGCTTTTCAATAACAGGTTAGTAACATCCGAATCCTTCTCTCTTATAAGAAGTTTTAATATATGTTTGAAGTATTTTACTCGTTTGACATAAATATAATAATATATAATAGGTATATAATTTGATGCATCTAACAAATAAACAAATCATTTTTGATTTGAATGTATTGATGGTAATCTGGCAGTAATCGCGGTGTTATTATAAATCTCTTTTAGATCCTGCGTTTTTTTCGAAATTGTATCATTGAATATCATATAGTTCTGTGCTGGATTAAAAATTTATTCACATAACTACCCAAATAATTTGGATAACTACTACATGTTTATAAATTAGAATAGTACATGGTGTTTTCTTGGGAGGTAGACAAGTGACAACTATATTATAATACATGTAGATTGTCAAAGTTTGTTGTCTGAGGTTTTTAATAATTTCTAACATTCTTGTCTTAATAAATTGTACATTGTACACGTCTTGTATTTATTACAGTTAATATTTGTATGATACAAATACAGTTGTACAATACTATTATGTTTGTTTTATAATTTCGTTGTACAATTGTCTATTATCTGATAACTGAGTATTTTCATTTCGTTTTCTCCCCACTTCTGACTGGCAAAATTCTCATTAATGGCAATAGTAAAGACCACTTTAATAAAGGGGTTTGCTTGCACAAACACAGAACATCAAACAATCTGTATATTAATTTCTCATACTTATTCTAAAGGAAATCTTCAAGTATCTACATATAAAGTTGAGCGTTTGAACAACATTTAAACTTCAATAAGACAAGTTAAACACGGTCGTATAAAGTCAAGGATACAAGATTCGAAACAATTGAAAATGAGAAATTAAATTAATTAATTATAAATTAGTTTACCTAGTAGCTATATACTTCCATTTTACAGGAAGCTCCTAACATTAATTAACAGTTATAATATCTTAACACTCGAAAACTCAGCACATGTTCACTTTAAGTCTATGTAACAAGACTGCACGATTATTACAGAGGTTATTATTATCAAATAGCGATATTATGTTGTTTTCAAGCAATTGTACATAGTATACGCACGCTGGTCTGATGACTGGAGATTGATTCGGGATTGGCCAATGGGCAGAGTAAAATTCCCTCTGGGAAACGGAATTCAAACAAAAAAAATGACCGTAATTCGAAGGGTTAGCGATAACAGACATACCAAAAGTGTCAAGAGATAACGACGGAGCGCTATGTATATAATATGTAGACATACATTATCGCGATTTTTTTTTCCAAATGGAGGGGGTTGAGCTTAAAGTGAAAAATTATAGTTGTTTCCGGATGGCTGCGTGGACCGGACGTTCGGACTAGAGTGAACGCAAATGAA